GGGACAGACACACTTGCCTACCTGTAGAGGATCAAGGCACCCAGTCTATGCAGGCCGACAGGTAGCCTGAGGGCTTGCTGTTGGGTGGGGCTGGTCCCTATGGCAGGCTGCCTGCCCTGGCTGAACTGGATTAAATCTGTGCTCTATTTGATGTGGCAGACCCCTGAGCCAACATGGTCTGTTGGAAGGGGAAGAACTTCAATGTTGTCTGCCAGCATCTGTGTCAGCATGGCTGTTCTACATCACTACAATAGCCGCCATCAATGTTTCAGTCTCTGGAGAGGTCTCACCTCTCACTGGTATGCACTCAGAGCCTACCCGGTGAGTCTCTTTTCACCAAAGGCCTGTGCAGCCTTCTTTCTGGTGATTTTAGGTTGCTCTCTGAGACCAATGAATTTGTGCATGGGCCCTCTAAGAGCCGAATGTTATCAGCTTTCATCTGATACCTTTTCTGGGGGTATTCCCATTGCACTTAATAGCCAGCCAAGCCAGATAGTAGGACAGTCGTCTTAGTTGTGCTGAGTCTGAAGGATACTTATAGTGGTAATGTGCCCCTGCTAAGGTCCCCACTTCTCCAGCGGGGGCTGTGTACCTTAGCGTGGCTCCTGCCTGGCTGGCTGTGAAGCTCCGTGGCTCACAAAGGTGGCTTTCTTTCTCTCCAGAAGGAATTTCTGCCTCTTCCACCTCAGTCAGGACTGTCCCTTGTTATGGCGGTTCTTTTTGTCCAGTTTTCAGTGTTCTCTTCAGGGTAATTTTTCCAAGAATAGTTGTAACCTGGTTGTGTTCTTGGGAGGAGGTGAGTTCAGAGTATGCCTATGCTGCCATCTGGATGAGATCTCTCCTGCTTCTACGCTTTTTAAATGATAGAAAGATGATTTACATTTGCTAGGATGCTTATATATTTTCTATCTGAGAGGCTGATAGCTTAGCTTTTAAGTTTATCACATTTTCCATTTCTGTGAATAGTATACAATCTCGTATATATCTTAGTCCTTAAGGTTTTTTTTGACAAGATGTTAGATCATAACATACAAACAGACAAGTTCTATATATTTACGTACAGAATAACAAAAAGTTATAAACACCTATGTATTCTCTACACAAGCCAAGAAATAAGACAATGTCAGCATCTGATAAGCCTCCTGTGTGTTTCTTTTCCTTTTTTTCTTTTTTTTTTTTGAGGAAGATTAGCCCTGAGCTAACTACTGCCAATCCTCCTCATTTTTTGCTGAGGAAGACTGGCCCTGAGCTAACATCTGTGCCCATCTTCCTCTACTTTATATGTGGGATGCCTACCACAGCATGGCTTTTGCCAAGTGGGGCCATGTCCGCACCCGGGATCCGAACTGGTGAACCCTGGGCTGCCGAGAAGCAGAACATGCAAACTTAACCGCTGTGCCACTGGGGTGGCCCCTGTGTGTTCCTTTTCTATCACACTCTCCTCCCTCCCTCCCTAGGGGAAACTGCTATTCTGAGATTTGTGTTAATCCCTTTCTTGCTTTTGTTTCATGACTTACACATCTACTTTCTCAATTGTGCAAGCAGATAATTTTTTTTGAGAAAATAATAAAATTCCATCGTTAAATTGTGAATGTCACATGTACTTTAAAAATGTATTCATTCATTCACTCAATAATCAGTTCAGTTATTCCTTGCCTGCTCTTAGGTAGCTGTGTTCATATGTGTTTCTCATTGTGAATCTATATTCACTTGTAATACAGTGATAGTGATGTGATAATAGCTAATATTTATGGAATGGTTTTAACTGCAAGGCGCTCTTCTAGGTATTTTATGTATACTAGCTTATTTAATCCTCATAATAACCCTATTAGATAGATAACATTATTTCCATGTTATAGCTGAGGAATCAGCCAGTCCTGTACAGGTTAAGTAACTTGGCCAAGATCACACACGTATTATGTGGGATTTGAACCCAGCCACTCTAACTCTTCAGCCTGCATTCATAACTACTGTGTTAAGATTTTCTTCTTTCTTGATTACCTGAAACAAGAAATTTGTAGTAGTTTTAGTGTTTATGAACCTGAGAGAGGTATTTTCAAATTTTATAAGAGGTTTATTTGAAATACTTTAAAGAAATATTTTATCTAAAATTCTTGGCTTGTTGTGACTTGACATTTATTTGTTTCCATAGACCAAATTATCAAAAAGTGCCCTAAGTTTTATCTAAGTATTTAAAAGCATATTAAACTAATAATTTCACAAAGTTTGTAGTGAATTCTGAAATTTTGAAAGATTTGATTGCTGTGTTTTAAGTTCATGATAGTATCCTAATTAATGTAAGAAACTAGTAAATGCATTAAGAAAAAGAGCTTGTATTATTTATTTTTGTTGTGATAAGTGATATAGTGCTTTACTCACATTATAAAATGGCATATAAATTAAAATTTAGTTAAATTTTCTGTGCTAGTGCTTGATATTGATAAACATCTTCTGATAATTGTTTTGTTTTTGTTATCCTACTTGAAAGCACTCAAACCATGTTTTAAAAATGGAATTGAGGGGGCTGGCCCCGTGGCCGAGTGGTTAAGTTTGCGTGCTCCACTGCAGGCGGCCCAGTGTTTTGTTAGTTCGAATCCTGGGCGCAGACATGGCACTGCTCATCAGACCACGCTGAGGCAGCATCCCACATGCCACAACTAGAAGAACCCACAACGAAGAATACACAACTATGTACCGGGGGGCTTTGGGGAGAAAAAGGAAAAAATAAAATCTTTAAAAAAAAAAAAAAAGGAATTGAAATAGTTCTTATTAATATAACTTTAAATATTTGCTATTGTTCTAACTATTACTTTTCTAGTCTTTTTATTTAGGAAGTCATTGCAAATGTTTTTATGGACCTAAAGTAGATAGCTGAAAATGTAATCCACAATAGGAAGATTTTTAGAGACATAAAAAGAGATCAGATTGAAACAATTCAGTTATTGGATTGAGTAAAAAGATGAGAGAGGGGTATCATGGTTCATTGCCCTTTTGAATCTGGGTGTCGTTGCCCTTTTGAATCTGGATGTCTGGGGAGAGAGTTGGTGTCAATTTAGGGGAATACTGGAATAGAAGGATTCTTGATTCTTACCTTATTCTGTTTAAGGATTAACTTTCTAGTTCCTGGAATAGAACTAAAGCAGGCTCTTTTTTTCTTTAAAGCTATGAGTTTTATACAGACACTCAGACTCATAATGTCTAAGTTATACAAGCAAACTTTAATGAGAACCAATGGGAGAGAGAAATCTCTAGTCAAAGAGGAAAACTAGGGATATATAGTTTCTCACCAATGAAAGCAGACTTCCTTGCACAGTGACAGCACACATGGTTGGTGGAGTTGTTTTGATAGCTTTCAGGTTTCTTCTTCAGATAGGAAGAAGAATAATTTTCTATTGGTAGGTATAAAAGTACAGGGAGATATGGGCAGTGTAGGTTCTTTTGTCTCTCGTTGTCCTGGGGAGACTGACAAGTCCTTCCTTTTTATTAGGCTACCTGGATATTGTCCTGACTCTTAAAAAGAGCAGTCAAACATTCAGGGGGCTGGAGTGATTAAACATGTTAAGGGTGGGCACGAGTAGATATACCTTGCTGAAAAGACATGGCTAAAGCCAGTTGCAATATTTCATTTGACAAGCCAGTGGCATCTAAATTTAAACTGCATTATAATTAAGTTGCATTATCTGTGGAAAAAAATAGAAGCCCCGTAGGCTTTTATTATTTTAGAGACAATTTGACATCTAAAAGAAAGGTCTTCTTATAAAGTGGCATTTGTTTAGGAAGACTGATAAGCCCCTACAGGATTCAAAGCAGGGCATTTTCCTTCTTTTTGAATGTTGTGATTTGCACCTGAAGTTCTTGTTTTCAAGTTACTGTATCCTAACAGGTAACTCTAAAAATGCCTGGTTTAGCTGTGGAAAGTAACGTTGTTTTGTGTGAATGGTACATTATTTATACCCGATTTCTAATGCAACTGAGTGTTATTTATGTGCGTCATAAAATATGTATAAGATTAACTTTGTTTTATTTGGTAGGATATTTAAGTCTGTGTATGGTAATCTTGTTAAGAATATATGAATAATAAATTTATTTTTTTGTCTGTTGTATCAAGACTAAAAATTGAACTGAACTCTTTTGTTTGAAATGAAGGAAATATATTTCTGAAAAAGTTGTTAGAAGGTCTAGATATAGAATTTTTGTGTTTAATTGGGCCTTCCTAGATTCTAAAGTTATTAAATGCTGGAAAGCCTTGCTTTTCTGCTTTTGTTTAAGTAAACAAAATGGCTTAAGAATTAAAAATTACTGTATGTTGTCAATTATAGTAGTAGATTTATGTATTAAAACCATGTCTCTAATATAGAGTGTCCATATTAGATAAGGAGAAATACCTGTAGGTAGGGCCAAGATTTCCGTTAGAAGATAGCCTTGGTTTCTCTTCAATATATGGGCAGATAAGGGATTGAAGAACTTGGGTTCTGCACCATGGAGCGCGGCCATAATAGTTTAATTCTGGAAAAAGTTCAAAGAAGATAATACCTGCTCTTCACTTTCGTGGTCATTATGAAATTCTCAAGGCACCCTATGAACATGTAATTTTAAACAATCGATTTTTCTGTGGAACTTTAAGATAAAATAGTAGTAAAGTGTAACTTCCTCCAGTGTTCCTCTTCCAAGTCAACTTAATAGCATTGTGTATAGAATTATTGAATATTAAACAATTAGATTTTACAGAATAATTTTCCAACAATGACCATTTCAATTGTATAGCACTTCTTATAACATTAAATGGATAATAGGAATAATTGTTTTTTGTTGATAATATCTTCTCATCTGCAGAGAGAAAAATATAGATTGGCAGGATTCTGTGTATCCAGCTGATGGTGGATTGGTTTTAAGGCATTAAGCTAAAAGCTGAAAAGATGAGAAAAGAGTAATATTAAAATATATGCTTGGTATGTCTGATTGATGCTTAAAATATTAACATAAAATTTGGCTTCTTGTAGGTTCTGCAAATCAACAAGACTTTTCTTCAGGGAAAAGTGAAGATTTAGGAACCGTTCAGGAGAGGTCTACCAAAAGCCTTGTTATAGGTCCTCTTGATTTTCGCTTGGATAGCAGTGCAGTACACAGAATTTTGAAAATGATTGTTTGTGCCTTGGAACATGAATATGAACCATATAGCAGGCTAAAACCAGGTCTGTTTGGCTTAATTTTGAATCTCTTACCAGTTGATTTGAATAAGTATATAATCCAATTTGTTGTATTTTGCCAACTTATACTTTGTAGTATATTTTGCCTGTCTGACTTTCATGTATTTAGTTGTTAATATAAAGAATAAGCTTGTGTGTGGAAGTTATGGGAGAGTAAACTTGTGTGTGGAAGTTATGGGAGAGATCAAGATTTAGAAGCTATTTGCCAGTATTGTCAGTATTTTCTGAGAAAGAGCTGCCCTGAGCCAACATCTATTGCCAATCCTCTTCTTTTTGGTTTGAGGAAGATTAGCCCTGAGCTAACATCCGTGCCAATCCTCGTCTATTCTTTTATATGTGGGACACCTCTACAGTTTGACTGATATGTGAAGTAGGTCTGCGCCCAGGATCTGAACCTGCGAACCCAGCTAACTGATGCTGAACTTTAACCACTTGGCCACAGGGCCGGGCCCAGTACCGGCAGTATTTTATTGTCACACCTTTTTGATACTTTTTCTAATATATACTCTTGAAATATGACCATTTTTCCACCTTAGTGGATTCTAAGGAGGAGACATGAACCCCATGAAGATGGGCTCTAAACATACAAATTTAACATTCAAGAAAACTTAGGTCTTACTGGTAAAAAAGAATTTGGTGTACAACTAATTTTTTTCTTCATGGTATGAAGATTTGGTTATCACAGTTTCATAAAATGCAAATTCCTTTTTTATGCAATAAAGTCCTGTAGAGTAGGACATGATAGCATAATGAGGGAGAATAGGATGGTAACTCAGCCTATGTGGTCAGACTGTGGTTTGAATTCTGACTCCCCACTTCTTATTGACCTTAGGAAGTTTAACTAACATAACTGATTTTTCATTTCTCTATCTGTATAACAAGTTTAATTATTGTGACAGGAATGGTTGTCTCCCTAATATCCATTCTTCTCTTATAGTAATAGAAATTTCCATGATAGAAATTTTCATCATGGGAATAAAGAATACACATCCCAAGTAGAGTCATATGACTAGGTTCTGGCTACTGTGATGGGAGCAGAACTTAATGTGAATTTTTGGGCCATGACTTTAAAAGGAAAAGAGCATACCTTCTCCTCCACTTCCCGCATTATAATGGCTGGAAAGCAATTATAATGACAGGACGGGAGACAGGGTCTCATCTTAGACCCTGAGATGAAAACTGCATTCTGAGGATGACACAGCAGCAAGATAGAAAGAACCTAGGTCTTAGGTAGTGTAGAAGCACCATGTCAGATCTGGAGCCTTTAGACTCAGATTATGTGAAAGAGAAATAAGCTGCTGTTTTTGTTGAATCTTCTTTTATTTTATTTTTGTCACAGAAAATTTACCATTATTCTTAATGATACACTAATAGGACCTCCTAAAGGTTATTGCATATAAAAACATGTAACAGAGTGGGTAGTGCATAATAAGTGCTTGACATGTTCATACATTCATTTTTTTTTTTTAAGATTTTATTTTTCCTTTTTCTCCCCAAAGCCCCCCCGTACATAGTTGTACATTTTTAGTTGTGGGTCCTTCTAGTTGTGGCATGTGGGATCCCGCCTTAGCATGGCTTGATGAGCGGTGCTATGTCCGTGCCCAGGATTTGAACCCGTGAAACCCTGGGCTGCCGAAGCAGAGTGTGCAAACTTAACCACTCCACCACAGGGCCGGCCCCCATGCATTCATTTTTTGCACCTTGCTTGAATGCGTACTCCATGCCAGACACTCCTGTAAGTGCTAGAATGGTACGTACAGAATGGCTAAAATAAAAAACAGTGACAACACCAAATGTTGGGAAGAATGTGAAGAAACTGGATCACTCATTCATTGCTGGTGGGAATGTGAAATGGTACAGCCACTCCTGAAAACAGTTTGGTAGTTTCTTTGAAAACTAGACATGCAACTGCCATATAACCCAGCAACTGTACTCCTGGGCTTTTATCCCAGAAAAATGAAAATTTATGTTTACACAAAAAACAGTGCATAATTTGTTTTTCTCATGTCAGAGTCCAACATATAACATGAATTTTTATTTGAAGCAGTTTCTCATGTCAAAAATGTGATATATATAAAGAAACTATTGTTAACTGACTTTAATATATAGGCACTTTTCACTTTGCATGGTAGTTAGGGACCATAAAAATGTGCAAGCTGAAATTATGCAAAGTGATGATATTCAGAGGGACAAATTGCAGTTGTTCCACACTTTTCGATATTTTTGTCAAAACACTAAAAACTCCTCTTACTCTTGATATAAATGTATATAGAAATGAAAATAATAGTAAAAGGAATAGTAAAAAGTTAAAGGTTTTATTTCTTTGTAAAAAATTTATCGAGTAGCTTGAATAGTTCTTGTCTCCTCATATAACTTACATCATGGAGTGAGGGTGTCTTTCCCATGCTTTGACAAATTGTCATACTCCTAAGTTTGGATCAGATTCCAACATTTCATCCTATACACTTTCAATGCGTGAAAACCTCTGAGAGTTCCTTTAATAGGAAGTATTTGGCTTGCATCGCTTCCTCTGAGACAGCTTCATCCTTTTTGTCACAACCACTTTCCTCACCTACATTGATAAGTTTATCTTTACTATGTTTCCCTGGCTGCATGTCGAGAGTCTCTCCAGAGGTGCAGTGTTTATATTCCCATGGTCAGCTGTTTCTTCTGTAACTCCGTTTATGTTTGTTTAGAATTTCACTTCCAGCATTAGCAGTTTTATTTCTTTGCTGCACTTTCATCTTTGATTGCCAATTCTCTGTTTGAATTATCCATTTTTGTAAAACGTCACATGAGTTTATCACCACTAAACAAGGAGCCAGTTCAACTAGTACATGCTTTGCTGTCTATGCATGAACTAAATAACAGATACTAGTAACCAGTAACCAAACCTGACAGACTTTGAAAGAAGTGACATGATTGGTCACTGATTGTGATGCTCAGCTCTTACTTATGTAATGATTTTGGGACTGAAGAACTAGCAGCGAAGTTTGCACTTCATGCAGTTATTTACAGTTATTATACTGTGGTAACTGATATTTGAACTGTGTTTTTTGGGAACTGGCATTTTTTAACTAAAAGAAGATAACTGAAATTCATGCATATCAGAACTGTGCAAAGTGAGAGCTCCTGTACATACATATATACATATATATGGGTGCGTATGTATTAAATCTTCAGTTAGCAGTTCTGCTCTACTCTTTTTTTTTTTTTTTAACTATTTACTGAAGTCTAATATGCATATTGGAAAGCACACAAAACCTAAGGGTATAGTTCTGTGAATTTTGCAAACTTAACCACATCTATGTAACTAACTGTTGAAGAAATGGAACCTTACCAGCACTTCAGAACTCCCCTTTGTGCCCTCTTTTGGTTACTACTCTGACTTCCAGGCTAGCCACTCTCCTTACTTCTAATATCACAGATTTAGTTTTGCTTATTTTAGAATTCATGCAAATGGAATCACATAGTATGTAGTCTTAGGTCTCTGGCTTTAGCTTACATTATGTTTATGAGATTCATTCTCGTTGTGTAGTATCCCATGGTGTGAATATACCATAACTTATTTATCCATTTTACTGTTGATGAATATTTGGTTGGCTTCTAGTTGTTAGTTATTGTGGTAGTGTTGCTACAAACAATCTAGTAAATGCCTTTTGGTAAACATATGTACCATTTCTTTTGGATATTTAAGACTGGAATCGCTTAGGTAAAAGGATTGCAGATGTTTACCTGTAGTAGATATTTCCAAACTGTTTTCCAAAGTGATTGAACCACTTTATTCTCCCAAACCACTTTACTCTCCTATCAGCAATGTAGGAGAGTTTACTTGCTCTTGACCAGCACTTGGCAAACCAAGACTCACTGCCTCTTTTTGCACAGCTGATGAGCTGATAATGGGTTTTGCATTATAAATAGTTTGAAAAAAATACAAAGAAGAATCATATTTTGTGACACATGAAAACTATATGAAATTTAATTTTCAGTTTTCATAGATAAAGTTTTATTGGAACATAGTCGTGCTCATTCAGTTATGTGTTGTTTGTGGCTGCTTTTGTACTACAGTGGCAGAGTTGAGTAATTGTGACAAAGACTATTTGGCCCACAAAGCCTAAAATATTTTCTTTATGGCTCTTCATAGAAAAAGTTTGCTGATGTTTGGTCTACATGCTTGTCAACATTTAATATTCTTAGTCTTTTTTATTTTAGCCATTCCAGTGGGTCTGTAGTGTTATCACATTGTGACTTTATTTGTAGTTATCTGATGCCTAGTGATGTTAATTATCTTTTGATATAATTTTTGGCCATTTGGATATATTATCTTTTGCTTGTTTAAGGTTTTTTTTACCCATTTTTTTAAAATTGAATTATTTATTATTGATTTTTAAGAAGTTTTAAATTTTGTTTTTTTAAATGCTGTGGGTCCAAGTTCTTTGTGGAGATATCTATATCTATATATCTTATCTATCTGTGGCAAATATTTCCTCCCAGTCTGTGGCTTGCTTTTACATTACTTTAGTGGTATTTGTATGAACAGAATCTATTATTCTTTTAATGAAAAAGATTAGGAATTTCTTTAGAATATTTAAAAATAGAAAATGTGTATTTTTGTATAGTAAAGACATACATATACATTCTGGAGTGGTGTAATTTGTATCTGTTAAAGGTAACACATTGTTTTACAACTGCTTCATTGTTGAAAAAAATAGAATTTGACCTTAAAATTTGGGGAACCAATTAATTAGTTTTTAGGTTATTTAAGAAAGTGAATTATTGGGGCCAGCCCTATGGTCAGGTGGATTAAGTTCGTGCACTCTTCTTTGGCAGCCCAAGGTTTCACCGGTTTGAATCCTGGGCACGGATCTAGCACTGCTCATCAAGCCAATTAGAAGTACTGACAACTAAAATGTACAACCGTGTACTGAGGACTTTGGGGAGAAGTAGGAAAAATTTTAAAAAATAAAGTGAATTGTTTAAAAATAATTTTTCATTAAATTTTCATCATTTCATTTTAGATATTAAGTATGAAAATGAAACAATACTGAATCCTGAAGAAGTGGCATCTTTGGAGGAATATATTCCTACTCGACATACAAGTGTTACTCTCCTTAAATGCACCTGCACGATTTTCATGGCTGAGTTCAACTTGCTAGATCATTTGCTACCTGTCATTATGGGAGATAAGGTATATTTTGCAATTTACTACTTGTTTTCTCATCTATGCATATTTGTTGGTTCTATGATATTGTAAGAGGAATGTGATTAAGTAAAAGGATATCTGCTTATATAGTTATCTGTGATGAAGTTAAAGCAATGTAACTATGATTGTTAATTCTTAGAAAATAATTTATATTTATTTATATTTATAGTATATAAAATTATATAAAGATATGATTTATAAATTTTGTATTATTATTATATAACATATAAACATGTATAAAAATATATTTTTAAGTAAAATAACCTCAAACTAAGGCTGTGTAAAGAAATGTTGAAGAGCATGGGCCTACAGGTCAGACCGTATACTAACTAGACACCTTATGATACCTTGCATTATATCCCTAAGCCTTGTTTTCCTTTTCTGAAAAACAAAAGAAAATTATATTTTTCAAGTGGGCTGACAGATTCAGCCAGTAAAGAAGCAAGAAACCCAGATAGATTCAGATAGTTTTACATAGACAGCAAAAGCAAATTGGTAATGGTGTCAGCTCGCCATGTCCCTTTCAGGACAACCCAAGGCCAAATGACATGCAATACATATGGTAGGGTACCTTGTTGGCGAGGATTCAATTCCACACTGCACCTAAGCAGTTATATAGCCTACAGCTGTACTCTAAGATGGGTGGGTTGAAAGCCCCATATCTCACCTGCATGAGGGATGCTAATGAGAAGATGTCTCATAGCAGCCTCCCTCAAAATGAGATGGTGGGTCAGAAATGGTCTTTTAGCAGCTCCTCACAAGAGCACTTATCTTCCCCTGAGAGTATCACAAGGATGTTCTACCAAGAATTAGGTCTGCTGTGGTTGGGCCTTGCCTTTGGTGGTCTAAATGGATTTGTGTAAGATTGTCAGGGTGCTGGCACAGAGCAGTCCCCTACAGTACCTAGCTTCTGGAATTATTTTGAATATTCAATGAGATAATGCATGTAAACCGTTTTGCCCATATTAGGAACCCAGTGGTTACTGCTGTTATTGTTAATGAGGACTTACTAGATGCTTAATATTTGTTTAAGGTTCATATACAATGTATTGCTTTCTGACTTTGTTGTATACATATAGGGTATTGTCTCCTTAATTTAGTATTTTTTTGGTAATATTTCTTTTGATATCTGCATAATGATGAAGATTATAGAAGTAAAAACTGTCCTAACTTTAGATAACATGAACTTATGGAAGTATGGCAGGGAGTTGACTATGATGCAGTAGTTTCATTTTGTATATTTACCCTCTATGGGCCACTCATAATTATTGCGTTGCTGGGTTAAGAGATCATCTGGGGAAAATTTCAGTGGAGAAAATAAAAATTATGTCAGCATTAGACATGAACTTTAAAGTAACTGTGATTAATCAGTTCAAGAAAGAGACAAAAAGGTAGAAGATTTTAAAAGACACTTCAATCCATGAAAAAGGAACCAAATGAAATTCTGGAATGGAAAACTATGGCACAGGTTAAAAGTAAAAGCATAGAAAAAGATATGCAATTTAAGTACTAATCAAAGGTAAGATAGCGTGACTATTTTAATACCAGAAACTAGAGAGCTTAGGACAAGAAGTACTGTTAGAGGGGCCAGCCCCATGGTCGAGTGGTTAAGTTCACGTGCTCCACTTCAGTGGCCCAGTGTTTCGCCAGTTTGGATCCTGGGCACGGACATGGCACTGTTCATCAAACCATGCTGAGGCGGCGTCCCACATAGCACAACCAGAAGGACCTACAACTAGAATATGCAACTATGTACTGGGAGGCTTTGAGGAGGGGGAAAAAAGATTGGCAACAGATGTTAGCTCAGGTGTCAATCTTAAAAAAAAAGCAAAACAACAAAAACCAGGTACAGGCCTTGCTTAAAAAAAAAAAGTATTATTAGAAATAAAGAGAGCCACTTCATAAAGACAAAAGTGTCAGCTCAAAGAATGAACAACATTGGTAATTCTCCCAGATGTTAAGTTAAATGAAAGCAGGGAGATGTGAGAATATACTGTATGATTCTATTTACATGAAGTTCAAGAACAGACAAAATTAATCTATGGTGATTGAAGAGAGAATATTGGTTCCTGCTGGTGGGGATTCAGCATTTTCTGAAAAGGGGCATAGCCTTCTAGGCCTTCATAGCCTTCAGCTTGAAATGCCTGATGGTTACAGAAGTAAAAATTTTTTGAGCTCTACAGTTAAAATTTATGTGTTCTACTATGTGTTGTACCTAAATAATCCAAAATAAAGTCTCTTAAAAAAGTAAAGTAATTGGTTAATAAGTGGTGGTTTAAAAATTGCTAATAAGGAGTCAAAAAAGCAGGATTATATATTCAGCTTAGTCAATTTTAGGCACAGTGTTTCTCAATAATGGCATTGTTGTCTTTTGGGGCTGGAGAAGTATTATGTAGGATTTACCATCTTCAGCTAATTCTTGCTAAAGGCTAGTACTGTTCCCCAATTATTGTGACAATGAAAGACAGGCAAAAAACCCCCAAAGAAACTGCTCTTTCCACATATTTTTATGTACTTCTGGATGGAAGGTCATACTGTTCCTCATTGAGAACTACAGGTATGGCATTTTAAGGGAGTTTATTTTGAAGCATTTATTTGGAAGTTTAGGAATGTTCTGTAACACTGAAAATATCAAGCCCACCTTGAAATTCTTAGGACTTTATGAACCTTTAGCATGTATCTTAGTAGATGTGATATGGATCAGAAATTTTTTTATCCTGCAAACTTTGCTTTTTGTGAGTATCTTGAAACTGTCTGGAGTGGTGCGTTTAGTCTATTAGTCATCTAAATGTGAGTTAAAGGAAAGAAGATAAAGGGTGGCTGGCTCTGAGATTATCTAGGAAATTTTTTTGGAATGATTGAGTTTAAGAAAATGTACTGAGGCACACAAAGACACTATTCTAGTTGATTGAAGAAATAAAAAGCTTTAGCTAAAAAGGCAGTGATAATTGTGCAGTAAATATGCATTCTTTGAAATCTGGAACATACTTAAAAAATATGCAGAAGCTGTTTGTATTTGGTTGTGGTAATAGAGTCCCACATAAAGGCATCATTTCTAGATTGGTTTGCTATCGCTACAAAATGTGCCAGTCTGAAGCTTGTATAGAGGGCATTGCACATCAGTCACTGTTCTCCTAAAGTATAAAGTGAACACTGTTATTTTCCAGAATTCAAGTAACTTCATGAATACTACAAACTTCCAGTCTCTTCGGCCTTTGCCATCTATTCAGATATTGGTGGATAAAATTAATCTGGAACATTCTGTTCCAATGTATGCTGAACAGTTGGTGCGTGTGGTCAGCAGCCTTACTCAACCTTCTGATAATCTGCTTCATTATTGCTATGCACACTGCTACCTTAAGGTATGAAAAGTGAATTTTCTTGTTCATTAGTGTTTGGTTGGCTTTGGGAGAATTAAATAGATCTCTTTTATCCTGGAGTTGTAATTTCACAGAATTAGTACCCCATATGGTGAGATTTAAGTAAAATATGAGAGAGATACTCATTATAATTAAAATAAATAAAAGTATCTATTTTAAAGATATTTCTTCAATTATTTGGGATTAATAGCTTGCTATTTATAAGATAATGGTAATTATAATTTTTGAAGATTTTATGTATCATCCATGATGATATTTATAAGCAGTATGAAAAGCACGTAGTTTATAAGGAAGCTTTAAAAGACTCCTGATTTCTTTGAGGTGAATGTTTATGTGAGACAATGTTTTATAAAGAGTTTAACACATCTGCTTTTTAGTCACTTTCCTCTTATTGAATTCATGTTAATTTCTTGATACAAAGGGAAAACTCTCTTATTGCTTTAAATCACGTTATGTAAAGTTAATTATTGGAGGCTTTACTCACTCTTCCATATCTTTTGTTTTAAATAAATAATACATCCCAGTATAGCTACATACAAAAAGATAAACTCAAATGTTGAGTAATAAGTATTTTTGCTAAGCAAACACAAGTGTGTAGTCTACATAGAGACAGTGTATACCTAATCAAATTGTTTTATGGACTAAAGGCAACTATACAAAGTTGAATTCGAGAATAAGTACTGAAAATGCACTAAATTTTATGTAAAGTACTAAAAAATTAGAGGACTCCAAAAATAGACTCCTGAGTTTATTAGTTCATACTTTATTGTTTGATGTTTTAAAGTTCTTATCTATTTGCTTATTTGTAAAGTAAAAGGAAATACCAGTTTAGATCGTCTCCAGGGGTTTTTAAGATGTTAAAATTTGACTGCTTTTGAACCATGTAGGGTATTAGAACATGTTTTCCTAGATGTCCATGCAAAGCCCATTTTTAAGAGGATGGAGGAGTGACAGTATGATGTTTCAAAGGGGTGTGGACACAGGGAAGTGTGATTCATTAGGCTGTTATTATAATGATCTGTCATAGTGTTTTATGTCGTGTGGAGAGTACCAGAAGATATTTTTGAAAGCTAGATATTTAGATAATATTTTACACTTATGTTTTTTAATTCATTACCACAATTAGTACACTGAGGTGTATTTTTTTTTTTAATGTTGATGCAACTTGAATATCAGATTGTAATGTTAAGATATATGCCTTGTTTTGTTGAAACAGGTCTAATTTTAGGCAGTTCACTAATCTTTCCAAGATATTCTACTCAGGTAGGATTCATCAATTTGGCAAATATTAAGTTCTTTCCATATTGCAGACACTCAGCATTAAAGATGAATAGGGCATACCCCATCCTCAAGGAGAATGGTCACCAAAGCTGTTGGTCACCAATATGGTTGTCATCCATACTGACATAAAAGTTATTGGAATAGTTGTTTACCACTACTATTTGTTAGCATGTTAAAAGCTCACTTAAATTTCCAGGGTAATGTCAAAGTTAGTTACAGTGTAGTCCCAATAAAGTTATGTTTTGGGAAAAGGACTTTTGCTACACATGCTGTCTAGTTGTCTTTTATATTTTGGTTAGTTTGACTGTTGCTATAATGGGCACGTTAAATGTCCCAGGAAGTTAGGTGTTGGACAGAGTGGGAATAGTAGAGGATTTAAATGTCTGCTTCATGTGTGTGTGGAGTATTGGACCCTAAGTAATTTTCAGTTGAATACTCAAACAAATGCTCAAGTTTTAATTTTGTGTGCCTAAATTTGACTGTATTGATGATACGATGAAATAATATGTAGTTCCTATTTCATGTAATGAAATTTATTATGTAAGAGAGTTGTCATGGATATGTGAAGAAAACATGCAGGTGAACTTTCATATATCTTAACCAAGTTCTCTTTATTTAACTGCCAAACTCATCCTTTGAATATGTATGGCATCAAGTAGCTAAGGCATTGCAAAGCATCTGGTGTTTGAAACATATGTAGAAAATAAGTTAGTGAAAATACCTTTAAACTATAAAAGTATTTGTAAATTTAAGGCCTTGTTACTCCAAGGCTCAGCTATGGCACATGCTTCAGAGAGATCAAGAAGGTTGTAGTAGAATCAAAGCCCTTTGGATTTTTTAGATTTGGCAATTTTTGACCTCAAGTAAACAATTTTCCCTGGAGATTTGGAGGAATGGTCCTTTCATACACAGTTGGTGGGTGTATAAATTGGTATCATTTGAGTTGATGAGATTCAAAATATAATAGAGTACTCATTTTTTGTAATACAGTTTTACTAATCAGAAGAGTGGTATTCTTTTTCTTGGGATAATATTTCACCTCATTGGGGTTCCAACTTAGTATTCCCTAGCATCAAATTGATTATAAATGTTCATATGTCAAAATTATTCTTAGCTTGTAGACAATACAAAAACAGACCATGATAGAATTTGACCTCTGGGCTATAATTTGCTGATCTCTGCCCCAGAGAAATTTTTGCATAAGGAGATATATACAACTAGAGGTCTATCTATGCTTACATGGATAGCTCTCTACAACATAATTTTTGGTGGGAATACCAGGAAGCATAATGGTGTATATATAGTATTATGCCATTTATGTAAATTAAGAAAACATAATAATGCTAAAGATTGTTCCCAGATAAGAAAGGGTCTATACTTGTATAACAAATGGATAAGATACATTCTAAACTGCTGAAAGTGGATTTATGTGGTCTGGACATGGTTGAGGTTGGCCCAGTAGGACTAGTGTGAGGGTCATGGTTAAAATAGACTTTAGCTATGTTGTAAGGCTTTTTATTTTTTAAATAACAACTTTACTGAGATAATTTATATACCATAAATTCACCTTTTATGAACAATAGAATTAGTGACTTTTAATATTTTCACAGAGTTAATGCAGCCATCACCACGATCTACTTTCATAACTTTTTTATCACCCTAACAGGAAACTCTCTACCATTAGCATTCACTCCCCATTTACTCCTCTCCTCCTGCCCCTTGCAACCACTGGTCTACTTTGTCTCTATGTATTTGCCTATTCTGGACATTTCATATAAATGGAATCATACAACATACGGTCTTTTTTGACTGACTTCTTTCACTAGTAATATTTGCAAGGTTCATTCGTGTTGTAGCATGTATCAGTACTTTATTCCTTTTGATATTCCATATTAATAATAATATTCCATTGTATGAATATATTGTATTTTGTTTCTCTCTTTATCTGTTGATGGACATTTGTGTTGTTTCCACTTTTTGGCTCTTGTGAATTAATATAGCTACAAACATTTGTGATTAGGTTTTTGTGTGGACACAAGTGTGGAGTTGCCTGGTCATATGGTAACTCTATTTTTAACATTTTTAGGAACTGCCAAACTTTTTTCCAAAGGGATTATTACATTGTTTTGCTGTCCCACTAGCAGCAAATGAGGATTCTTATTTCTCTATATCCTCACTAACACTTGTTTTTGTTTGTGTTTTTGATTTTGGTTATATTAGTGGTTGTTAAGTGGTATCTATCTCGTGGTTTTGATTCATGTTTCCAAAAAGACTAATGATATTGAGCATTTTTTTCATGTGCTTATTGGACATTTATACATCTTTTTTTGAGAAATAGCTATTCAGATCTTTTGCCTATTTTTAAATTGAGTTATTTGTCTTTTTATTGTTCAGCTGTAAGCATTCCTTATGTATTCTGGAGGGTTTTATTTCTTTAAAAGTATAGGTGACGGAATCACAGTATTCATATTTTGAAAATTCTGGGTGATGGAAAAATCGTTTATTATTTATTGTTTCCTCGCTTAAATTGTTAGTGAAAAAAAAATCAAGAGAAAATACTTAATTTCTTTCCATAAGAAAAGAATGTAAGTATCAGTTTCAGTCCAGAGTTTCTTTTTGTTTTAATGGATACACGAACAGAAACTAGATTTAGAAGGTTTAAGGAATGCCTAGACAATGAAAAAAAATGTAGCATTCTCCAGGTTACTCTTTCAAGATGTTTGCTGATCAAGGTGAGAAGTAGAATTTTACTGATGGTTGGAGGAGAGGTGGTGGTGAGAAAGATTGTTTGTCTGTTTTTTCTTTAAGAATAAGTAGAGAGAATCAACCTTACTTTTTTGGAGAGAAGAAGGAGGAAATGGAGGAAGGAAGCAAGGCAGAGTGAAAAATTGTGAGCTAATGGATGAGCTCTAAATCAAATGAAGCATGATATTGCTGTTCTAGCAATATGTAATTTTGAGGAAGTTCTTTATCCTTTTTATACTTCATTTTTCCCATATGTGAAATGAGGTGATTTAGTTAAATAATCTCAAAGCAGTTTTAGCTCTGAAATTCTAAATTTTTATCAACTAGATCGGTTCCATCCTTTTCCCTTGATGGCTTTTTCTTTCTAAAATGTTCATTATTATGCTGTAGAATTGCAGTTAGAATAATTCTTTCTTCAATTTTTGTATGTTCCAATATGTTACTGTATACAGATTAATTTTTTACATGAAAGTAATGCTTGATTTTTTTTTGTTCTTTTAAGAAAAGGACACATCTTTAGGATGTGGTTATACTGTTATACTGAGTGTCTTATAATGGCAACAGCATAAAATGATTTATTTTACATCACAATTATGTGTTTTCGTTGTTGTTTTACGGTTTGTGCTTTTTATAGTTTTTGTCTTTCTACCATTGCAAATCCTAACTTTGCAAACTAATTTTTATTAAAAATTTATTAGAACTAAGTTGTTTTATGTTTCTAAATCTACTATGGCTTCATCTGTTTGAGATGTTAATTCAAGAACATTTGTTGTAATGTGTTAAAATATAGATGATGTACTTATTTTTATTGTTTTCTAATTGGATTTTTTAAAGGCGGCACTACACGTTTAACTTTTTATTTAATATAATGTGTAAGTCATCTTGTTCAAGTTGACATTTGCTTTGGCTAAAATTTATATTAGTAGTTACTGCTTCATACATTCTTACTGCTTCAGACCGTCAGTTTGCAGTGTACTTTTATTCTATTTCTGATTATATGAACTATCCTTGGTAAAAGCACCTAAGTTCATATTGTGCTGGTTTTTCTTTTTCTAGATCAAGTATTTGTAATCTTGGCTAAGGGCTGTTGACAAGTTTTTAGATTATATAGGTGTTGTAAATCTGTGTATCTCATTGCTGTAGTTGAAAAGAGAGAGCTGAAAATTGGTTATTTTGAAATAATTATTTTTGATGTGGTAGATAGGACATCTTTCATTATACTTTGTACTTCTTTGTTCTCTTAGAAGCATCTTGGGACAACATGTAAATTTAGTAAAAGTTTAAAAAAAATTACAGAATGATATGCAATTTCCCCAAAGTCCTTTGCAGTTCTGCAAACAACCAGCAGGGGATCTCCTCTACACCCAATTTCCATCTGAGTACAGTTAATGATAGTGTCTGTGATTATATTGTTGGAGAATTTTATAGAATATTAGAAAGTGGCTTGAGAGGGTGCTTAGTTGAAGGTAGATAATCCTATATGATAAAATATTACCTTTATTCATACTTTAGAAAAACTTGGAGGTTGGGCATTGTTTTAATAATCATGTTTTATATTGAGTGGTATTAATAATTGTAAATTTCAGAATTTTTAAGATAATGGGCCTTTGAGAGGAAATATGAAATGCTGAAATTGCACATTTCAGAATGCCCGGAAGTTCTTTTTATAGAGTATTGCTCATAACAAATCTTCAAAGAGAATGAATGTGGAATAACTTAATTTTTAAGATCAACCATTAAAGTATCAGAAACATGTTTTTAGATTTTTTTCTTTTTCCTCTCAATTCTGTATTTCCTGCCACTTGGTTAATAGCAGAACTGATAGGAATTAATAAGTATATCACTTTCATTTTTCTTGATAGTAATTAGGTAGGTAGGTTCTTTGAAATGCAATTTTGTCTGAAAATATATAATTCTAACTAATGTCTTATTTCCACAAAATTATTTGTTCACTAAAAACTGACTTTAGAGGAAAGGATTTAACATTATCAGTTTGATGAATGATAGGGGCATAATAGCTTGTTGAAACCATTTGGAAGTAGCTTAATACTTTCTAAGAAATTGATCATTAGTTTGTATTTATTAAATGGAAGTATTTTGCTTTGAAAATTAGTGACTGTGAAATTTTCAGTATGTTTCACTGTAGAACTGGAAGTTAATATTAATCCTGGAGATAGGAAAGTCAGTGTTTTATAAATTCAAGAAATAAAAAATAATAATGAGAGATAAATGTTGAGGTTGAGCTGCTTTTGCATGTTGTTGGAAAACAGTATCTCCTTTTTTTTGTATCCCTGTGTGTTAGTGTTTCCTGTTTGAGATGTTTATCTTCTACCTTATTGGAAATAATTGGAACAGAAATATCATATTCAGTTCTCTGCAATGTTTCATATAAAGTGTGATGTTATATTTATTCTTCCTACTAAGGCAAATACAGTGTTCAGGAATTTCAGGGAATGCTTGTAAAATTTTTGAGTGTAATCTGCTCATTTTAAGTATAAACATATGCAGAGTAATTTATGCCATGTACCAAATTTCCTGGGGTGAAAAACCTCAGCCCTACAATTGTTTTCATGAAAGAAAGGGAAAAGATGTAACATTTTAGGATATATTTGGATATCTTTCTTCGTGTGTGTAATGTTAGTTGAGGGTAAAATACGTTTTAAAGATTTTTCTTGTTGTACTGAGTGTTCTTTTAGGCATAAAATAATATTAACAGTAATTTATTAAAGTTAGTATCTGCAATGTATATAATGTAGTTGGCTTATATTAAAATAAAATATGTGTGTTTTAGCAGACGAAACACTAAATGAGAATTATGTATACAAATAAAATGTGAAACATAAAGTTAGTAAAAAAAAAGCAATGATCTTTCTGGGATGTGAAAGAAATACTGTATGTTTAAATCTCTTAATTCTGATTTAGTTAATGTCAAATTGAATAAAAGAAAATGCTCATGTTTGGGAAGTGGTAAAAGGCATTGGAACATATTTAGTGTGCAGCTGTTGTAGAGCAAATTGAAACTGACGTATTTCATCCTGTGCTTATTAAAATTTTGTCTCTGTGAACATTTGGATCTTTTCTTTTTGTTTCAGATATTTGGTTTCCAGGCAGGACTGACGTCTTTGGATTGTAGGGGATCTTACTCCTTACCTGTCCCGATTATTCCCTCTTTCAGCACTGCTCTTTATGGTAAACTTCTGAAACTACCCGCATGCTGGTAAGTATTATGTCAAAATATGGTTTTTGGTAATTTTCGTTTATTATCTTAGGAGGGGAAAAGACCAATTGTATCTGTCTCATGCCAGTGTGTTAGTTTAATGCAAAACCTTAGAAAAATATCTGATGTTATATTGTCTTTTACTTAGACACTGAAAATCTCTTTTTAATGTCTGAAGTCACAGAATCTTTTGTGATAGTAATAACTGTTATTGGAGTAATAACTGTTAACCCATGTTGGAGATATAGTAAAATGTTTCTGCCTCATACTGTAATAGGAACTGTGAGGGCAAATGCCTCTTTTTTCCTTTTTGAGAGGATACAGACAAAGATTTTTTTAAAAGTTACAAATTAATATCAAGGCCAAAGTATTTATTACCTAAATAACAATTTTATGTGTATTCATAGCTACTGAGAAAAATATACCCATGACATAGATTTAGAATATTTGACAAGTCTATGTATAATGGCTGCATTTTGGAAGAAATTGATTATAGTTCTTATTTTTGTTCAGTATTGAGTTACTTTATTTATGGGTCATATTTCCTTAAATTCAAAGAGATTTATAGAAAGAAAGCCAATAGTTACTAATCATACCTTTCTTTTAGTTGAAAGCAATACTTTTAATATATTAAAGAAATCATTATTTAAATACATATAATAAGGTTTAAATATATTAAAGTGTATTCTAGTGAAATATTTCTCCATTTTAAAATGTAGATTTAATTATTTGGAATATACTTTTGCTTTCTCATCCTAATTAGCAAACCTTATTTTTACAGGATGTTTTCCATTAGTTATTTATGTAAAGCAATATAAATTTCAGGAAATAGATATTTTTTAAAGTACTTCTTCTGCTAAAAATACTTTCCTTTAGTAATATACACATTTTAAAATGAAATTTGTAAAGTAAATGTTCACATTTTCCAAGAAGTTTGCCTTTTGATCTAGAAAATTAAAAAATACAGAAGTTGCAGTTAAGTTTTGGAACCAGTTATTATGTAAAATGAAACCATTATTTAAATGATTATTCTTAATTTCTCTTGATATGCTTAATTTTGTCCTTAGTCATCCGTATGTTATTATGTTGTGTAGAGATTCACTTTTTACCTTTTTCTTTGTGTATACATAGGATGTTGCATTTGAGCCAAGTTTTATTTTCTGATCTATTAAGTAATACCATGGGATATGTCCCAGTTGATATGTCACTATCAACTTTAATAGATATTTGTGAATACTGTTATCTCAGTTATGTGCTGATTTACTTGTCATTCATGACACTGAAATTTTATTGGAAACAGTACAGTTTACTATAGAAAATGCTTAATACTTTTTTAAAAACAAAAAGCCAAAATTTCCAAAATGAATTATAGCCTTCATATGAAAAGAATTGAATATTTATATAGGCAAGGCTTATTTTAAGGATGTCTAAGCCTTACTATAAATATTGTCAAATGTGATTTAAAATATGTCTGCTAACATCTAAAAGAAAATATTCCAATTAAATACTAAAAGCATGAGATCACAGAATTCTAATATTTATTTGGATATGATTTGCTCTTTTGTAGTTGAGACCACTTCTGCATTATTTCAGATATTTTTGCTATACTTTACAGAAGTGTATTGCTTTGAAAATAGTTTCTTTAAATTGTTTTCCTTAATAAATAGAAAGTAAACTATAATTAATCCATTCCTAGTGACTCTAAATTGTGACTCTAAATAAATACAAAACTCAAGAAATTGAGATGTATCTAGTTAAATGAATAAAATACTAGATAAAATACATTATATAGCACTTTAATTAAATCAAAATCACTTGAGAACTGAGAATTTTATTTAACCCATGCAGTGAGTGAGGATTATTTTAGTAAGGCACTATGGTTATGTCATTAAATGTCAACTCTGTTCCCATTCATGGTCTCTCCCTTCCTCAAATTATACAAGCTGTTTCCTTTGGATTTTTAAAATTCACATTCCAGAGTTTCTTGATGCTATGTATATATTTCATTCAATAATGAGAAGAGTATAGTAATTACAGTCCACAGCTTTTCAAAAAGACATTTTATAGCACATTGGAAAAAAATTTTAGTTGGTATGTTTGAGTTAACAATGAAAATCTAGATTTTAGATTTTATATAAATCAGCAAATTAGTTTATACTTTTTGTTTAAAAGTATTTCTAAATTGAGCAAACTAACATACTTTAATCAGATTTGCTAACAAATTTTTAAAAATACGTAGTTTAAGTAACATTGAAAATAAATTATTTTTCTCACATTTAAATGTTTCTATTAATATATTTTAGCCTCACTGAGCAAGCTATTATATTACTACAATCCAGTTTCTTAGAATTTATTCTTTCAAAATATTTTGGTTATATTTTATCTTTCATTCTGTATTACACAGTTTTCAAACATAAACTTTTCAAAAACTTTTTCTTCCTCATTATTTTACATCAGGTTAACATTTAGTTCTTTTAGTCCCTTAGAACAGGATTGAAATATGTAGGATATGGTGGGAAAGACACAAGAAATCTTAAGCAATTAATTTAAATTTTAATTTACCTCTCTTTTTTTAGTAAGAAGTTGTTTTAAAAAGGGGCAGTAAAGGGATTGGTTAAAGAGTAAGAACGTATTATAACCTTATTATCACCAGCAGAATTAAACATTGGTCTCCTGTTGATAGTTATTTTTAGAATTTCCACAGTGGTAATGCTTTTAGGCTTCTAGATATATTGTTGCATTTAACATTTTTTTTCAGAACAGAGAAATGATAAATATTTTAACTCTGTTTCTTATATTTTTAGTTGAAATAGTAATATCTTATAGAAAAGTGCATATATTATGATATTTCATAACTGAACTAAACTTTTGGTAACCAACTGGAAAGATCAAGAAAAGAGTAGCATCCCAAAAGCTTCTCTCATTCACCCTCCTCCAAGGTTAACTATTATTGTGATTTCTGGTAGCATAGATACAGTTTTTTCTGTTCTTAGATTTAATATAAATGGAATCACACAAGATATATTTCTTTTTGACTGCTTCTGTCACTGAAAACAGTGTGAGATTCATTTATAGTGTAGAATGACGTTTTTAGATTGTTCGCTTTTGTCACTATCTGGTATTCTATTATATGAACATTGACAATTTATACATTTTTGATGTGCAATTTTAATTTAAAAATAAGTACCTGAAGTTTATGTGAATTTCTTTTTTATTCCTTTGGCATTTTCCCTGGCATTTTCCCTTTTCCTTAAGAAGCTTCAGTTGTGTTAGGGGAGATTAGATGTTAGTCATGAAATATTTTTTGATTTTCTTTATTTTGATAGGCGTTGTGCTCAGTGTTGGGATTGGGGGAATAATAAAGTAGAATGCAGTGAGGGTGAGAGACATTCCCTGACCATGAAAACTTACAGTCTAGTGGAGGAGGAGGAGGACACTAGACATATATGAAAATAGTTGTCTTCACCAAGTTGAGGCTTAAGTGGAATATCCTGTTAGTTTAAAGAAAGTAGAAAATTTGGGATGGCTTCAGAGAAGAAGTGACATTAGAATTGGGCTTGACTGGCTGAATCAGATAGATATCCAGGGAACAAGAGGTTGGTTGGGGTGTGGAGGCTTCTAGGGGATACATAATATTGTCTGAATAAAGTCAGAGTTAGTCCATTGGATCTGTGAGTGGATACAGTGGGGGAGGAATTTGGACTCGTACATGAATAAGGATGTCTAAGCTTTTTAATATGAATAGTTAAAAATAGTTAAACCAGTTGATCGAGTATTCATTAACCCCATTTCTTCCTGATGAAGCTTGTTAAACTGCAACCATAGTCTGTCTCAAGTTCACTTTCTTCTATAATTGAGGGTTCAAAGATGTGATCCTTTTCATAGAGATATGCAACATACTTTGGAAGTTCAGAGAAAAATTACTTTGGCTTAGAAAGTCACAGAGAACATGAAGAAGGTAACTTTTTAAAGCAGGTTATTAAAGAATGGGTAGGATTTGAAAGAGGGTGTTGTACTTTTTTTATACAGTATTAGGTAGTTTAAGTTTTCATAACAACCCTGTGGGGTAAGATAGTATTCCTTCCTATAAAACTAAAACTCAGAGAGGTTACATAACTTGTCCAAAGTCACACAGTGGCTGGACAGGGATTCTGATGGAGGGTTAACTGATTCTAAAACCCTTGATCACTTTCTTACCTGAAGGAGTGAAGGCGTACATTATCTTTTGTTAATCATTTTTGAGGGTTCAGTGTGCTTCTTGCCTTATAGTAAAAGTGGATTTCCATGTATTGAGAAGCTAATTATATGATGGTACAGCTAATAAATCTGAACTCTCGTAGTATCAGTTAATAGTATATGGATGTTATTGTGATGCTGCTCTCATAAAATTGTAGATACAGTGTTAGGTGGACTCTTAGGTGTTACCTCAATTTCTGAGTCTAAGACATCTTTGATTTATAGGCATTTATCCACATTTTATTGACAGGAAGTTAGCTAGTTTGTGAGGCAGCCAGCTTCATTGTTGGGCAGCTCTAAAGTTCCTTCTTCTATTGAATTAAAATCTGCTTTCATGTTTCTTCTCTTTCATAATTATTGCTTATATGTTTCGTGAGCCATTTTCATGCTCATAGGAATGTGGGAAAATACATCTTTCTTTACAAGATTGAGGGATCCCTCTGAGTATCCATTCCCTACTTAGCATGGTGCCAGCTTGATTTTTGACTAGTGAAGTTATTGAACAGTTCATTTGTGGGAGGAAGATGCTTTTGTGGAATCTGTGTTTGAATTGTGTTAATTAGGAAATATAGGATTTGGTGCTAGTAGGCTCGTGGCATGGTGTGGTGTCTAAAGGTGAGGTGAGGTAGATACTGATCGTTTTGCCTGCCTGAAACAGAAACTGAAGCAGCCGTTTTTCTGCCCTAGCTCAGAATGACACCAGAGTAAATGCTTTCAGCTTTAATGGAAGCTAGGCCCTTCAAGTCTAACAAAATTGCCAGTAA